AATGGGAATATTGACATGTCTTTGAGAGTAGTCGAGCTTCTCTCAGCTCTTCTTATAGTTTGAGAGACTAGGGTCTCAAAAACTCAGTGATCACTGAAGCCACCTCAAGCTAGAGGCTTTTGGATTCTTTGCCAATTTGATGGATGAAATTCACAGGCCACAGAGTGTGAATTTTTTAAGTTATTTTATTATAGGGATCTAAGAAAGAAGGAAAGGAGGATGGGAGGGAGGGTGGGCTCCTGTACAGCAGGAAGGTTCCCCAGGAGTGGGATTCCACTGGGCCTTTCCCTTGGAGTTAATGAGCTGGTCAGTCTCATTCCAATTTCAGGTGTCCAGAAGCCTTGAAGTTTCAGTCACCCCCTCAATATGGTTTCCTGGAAAGGCATACTCCTTTAGGAGAAAGAGATGAAGAAAAACAGGACCCCCTTCCTGGTATCTCTAGCCTCTGGTCCTGGTAGAACCAGAGACAGTTTTTACTTAATGGGGTCTTTTTACCCTAAACTGCTTCACCATTTTCTGTCTCCTGTTCTCACCAGTAGTCTGTGGAAATCATGGGTAAATACATAAATGAAATCAGTCCTGATCTCACTGTCTCTAGATGCGTTCGGACACGGATGAATCAAGTGTGGCGTGCCCACACCAGAAGAACCACTGTGTGCTACATGGCTAGACTTTCTCAGTGAAGGAAGCCAGCCTTAGACTTACTTTCTCGGGTCAGCTCCTTATGTCTCTCAGTGTGGACCTGTCTAACCAGTCAGCAGACTCGCTCCTCCGAAGAGGGCAATGATCACAGAAGCCCTGTGAAAGAGAGGCCATCCCATCTCAAAGATGAAGACACTGGGGTATTCTTGCTGGGAAGCAAAGTATAGAGAAACAGTCTGGGAATTCAGCCCAGACAGGCAGGCAGGGTGCAGAACCAGTCACTAGTAGCACCTAGTAACCACCTTTCTCAGGTCTGTATTGTTAAGCACTAGCTACCCACTGGGGGATGTCAACCTAACTAAACATCAAGTCTTTCTAGTAAAAGCTCCAAATAATGATGGTATCCAGGACCATCTATTTTTAACTCATAACAGCTGTGTGCATTTACTACTAATTTTAGTTATTGGGTCATGGAGAAAGCTTTTTGAGTTCCTAAAAAGTATAGCCAACCATTTATGGAGAAAAAAAAAAAAAAAAAAAGAGTCAAAACCAGAGCACTGGGCAACACTGTCTATAGAGCAGACGTCTCTGAGGACATCCAACAATGGATGCCCCTCTGTCCTAGCCAGCAGTGGCTTTGCATATTCTCTGAATTCAAATGCCAGTGGAACAGCTGGCTTTTCAAACCCTAGTCCCAAATGCTGTCTATATGACTTAACCACTGTTCACCTGAGCTTTGATCACTTGGCCTGGCCGTGATGTCTGGCAGGTTTCCCGATGTCCAACAGCTCTCTCCCTCTCTCTGTGCAGTGCAGCTTGGAAGGTCATCACTCTAGTTAGCCCATGTGTATGGACTGGAAAGTATGTGCCACCCACCCACCTCAGAGAATTGCTTAGGGTTTGTTTAAGATTCCACACAGATTGGTCTCCTCTCTCCCCCATTTGTTTCTGTCCGTATGCGCTGTTGGATATTAGTTTTATACTTTGGGCTCTAATTCAGTTCTGTTCTGTTGTGTTGCTTATATTGTTCCCACCTCGGCCGTTGGTGGTGGTGGTGCCAGTCTCCTTGACATGACCTGCTTTTGCCTTTTGAGCATGTCCTTATTCCTTGGCACCATAGATCCTCCAGGCTATCTTGCATATCCCCAGTTCTAGTCCTGGAATGAGTTATTTCTCTAAAGAACTCTGGGTCCTGTGATTGGACAATAAATAGAAAACCCAAGATCTGGGCTTAGGGAGGGTTATTCTGTTTTGAAGGCTACTTCCTAAACTCTGCAACAGAAACCCAGGAAACAAACCATGCTCATTGTCAGTAGTTTGTTAGGTTTTCATTCTGGTTTGGAAAAGTCAATGTCACTGGCCTCGCAAATATTTGAAGAACATAGCATGTCATGGTCAACCAGGAGGGTATGTTCTGAGGTAGACTACACTCAGCGAACTCAGTAGAAAAACATTTTTCCTAAAATACCCTTTGTTGGATGAACTCCAAAAGCTTCTTGTTTTCTGAAATACTAATTCCTGTTACCATACTAAGACACAAAATAAGACCTGCAGGTAGGTTGTTGTGGCTTTTAGATGACATCCTTCTGCTTCTAAGTTGTTTGTATTTCTTTTCTGGACAGTGCAGGAAATATTCCCTTTTTGGAAGAACTGGTGGAAAAGCAAGGCAGCATTTTCTTACTGGAAACATGAATTCAGAGACTTCAGGGAAAGAGAAAGGCTTCCTAAATGTAGGACTCCTGCCCTTTAATGGCCTTTTTTCTGACTGGACAAAACAGCTTTCAGTTTCCATGTTCCTAGTAGACCAAGAGCTAGATCTTCTGTGTGTGTGGTTGAAAACTCAGAAGATCTCTGTGGCATGTGTCTTTGATAAGGGGCATTCAGAGTGTATGTGGTACCAGACAGGAAACTGATTTAGGAGTGCCAAGTGGTACTGTCTAACTTGAGGAAGGGGATACTGAACTGTGCTCCCAGGAAGCTCCCATTAAAGGTCCATCGAGCTGATAGTTGCATTCAAGGGACCAGAAAGGTAGACACACCTCTCCAGGTCAGCTGCCACTGATGCAAATATCTCCACTGATGTGGGCAAGCTCCCTTTCATGCCGCCCCTCTCCATAGGATAGCTGATCATTTCCTACAAGACAGAAAAAGGCCTCAAGGTGAGTGGTATCCATGTAGAGAGGCCAGAGGGAGGAAGCATCTGACTCGTTTGCTGCAGAAGCACGTTCCCAGCATCCCTCTCTCTGGCATGCAGTTACACCCTCCTTTTCCTTGGTTTATTGTGACTTAAAAGCCATTTTACAATGATTTTGCAAAACCCAGAGAGATTGCAACATGTGTCTGAGGCATTATCTCACATTCATATCATCTCTGGCTGCAAAATAAAGCACACTAATGATTCCCTTTAGGAAGCCTATGTTTTGAGCGGAATATGGCCTCCTGTTGCATTCTACCCACCAGGGAAACACAGAATGACTCACTAGGTAGGTATAAGGCACAGATCTATGGCACACTTGGGATAGACTCTCTTATCACGACTGTATACCTCTTTACTGCCATGGAATATTTAGAGGCTCCCATAAAGCAGCCCTGCAAAGAAGGGTCTTTCATCTGTTTGTGTGATGGATATAGACAAGGGAATAAATTGTCTCCCAGCACCATGCTTGGTGCTGTTTGGGAGTCATTTGAAATGGCTGCCACGCCTGGGCACGGGCACAAGTGATATAGCACTATTTAAGACCAGCAGCTATGCAGTGGGAAAAGATGACAGGCCACTTGTCCTTGGCTCTCAGGTAATAAAGTCCTTCAGCTCCAACTTGCTAGCTTTTTCCCTTCATGTCAAAATGGGGTATGAATCTGACATTAAGCACCGAAACTAAAGGATAGCACATCTGCTGGTTCTGAAAACTGGTGGGATATATTTCCCAGATGCTGATGAGTCACAGGGAAAAGTCTGTTGCATTTATACAATGAAACATTTATAGTAGATTCTCCAAGGTATTTTTTTAGTGTTTCAGTATGGCATAGTAAATAGGACCAGTCGAATTCCATGAAACTTAAATTATCCAAAGTGTAAATGATGTTCTAAAATTTCAATGTTCTGTTTATACATGGCTGTAATTCATTTTCTAATATATTCAGTTTTATTTTAGACAAGACATGTTTGTATTTTAGGAAAAGGAGATAAATATTTGATGGAACTGGCATGTTTTGAACATTATCTTCCAAAGTTGCAGGTTTCTTAAATCAGCACAAATTTTAAAGTTGGTTTTATTGGATTGCTCCCAGTAACCGTGCTCCAGCCCATAGACTCTGGCCAGCTTCCCTCCAGCCCTAGTTCTTCTCCTCCTCCCTGAGGCTTGCCCCTCAGTTCTTCACGTGGCCTATAACTGTGGTGAACGATGATACTCTGGGATATTCTTTTGATGGATTATGGTATTCTAGTCTTTAGTTTTCCCTGGAGTTGATTGTCTTATTTTTCTTAGCGTTCTGTGTGCTTAACCCTAATTTAGTCCCACATTCCCTCTGTGTAAATCCCTTGTTGTGCGTGCAGACCAGCAGGATTCCTGTCTCATCTAGGTGTGGCTTGCTGCAGTGCGGACTTGCTGACCTGAGAGCCTGGCGCCTTCCTAGGCTCACCCTGTACCTCTGTCTCAGGGCTCCCTCTGCCTGTTTCCCCCATGTTGCTACCTGTGTTTCTTTCTTTCCCTGACTCCTCTGATTTGGCAGATCATGCACCAGTAGCCTCCTGGGAAAATGTGCATGAAAAGTGCAATAGTTGATACTGTCAACTTGACAGGCTCTAGAGTCACTGAAGAAACATTTCTGTGAAGGAATGTCCTACATTGTTGTTGATGTGTGCCTGGCACACTCCATGAGCTGGGGGTGGGGTGGGGTCTCAGCGAAGAAAATGAAGAAAAAAATGGGTACACAAGTATCCCTTACCTGCCTTGTCCTCTCTGCTTCCTGTGGGTGATGCCATGGGACCAGCTGTCTCATACACACTCCTTCTTACCTCTCTGTCCCACCATGATGGCTTGGACCTTTGCTTCAAGCTGTGAGCCCAAATCAACCTTTCCATAAGTGCTCTGGAGTGCTGTGAGACAAGTAATTAATGCAGAAGGTGAATGTTTCAAGGTCTTGGGTAGTGGAAAGGTCTTTCTTTAAATTTTGCTCATCGACAGTTTTGGGGTTCTGGGAAATAAATCACCTGCCCCCAAACCTGTTGCTGCAGGTCTTCTAGGTCAGAGCTGCCGAGAAGCCTCAAGCTGCAAGCTTTGGTTCTGCTCTGTCCCCAGCACTGTCAGTATTGTGTCCTGCTGGCTCTTGGCCCATCCAGGGCCTACCTCCCCAGGATGCCCTTTCAATCTCAACTCCTTTCCATTCTAACAGTCTCCCTGTAATCTCTTTCTAGAACTCCTATTATCAGAATATTTGACCCTTATTTTCTTTTTAAAAACTTGTTCTCTTATTTCTTGTACTTTTATCCTTCAGCACTGTCGTGAGAGACTTCTGACTCCGTCTTATGTTCAGTTAGTGGCTTTGCATTTCTGCGTTCATCTTCCTAACCCTCCGATCCTTTTTGCTCTGTGAATGTGTTTTAGAACATTCCCATTCTGTTCTCAATTCATGGATACAGTCTCTTCTCATCTGAAAGTGTCAAGGGGCAGAAAGTTGTTTTATTTTTGTCTTTCTTTGATGACCTGTCAACAATGTCTGAGGGTGTGTGCTCGAGTTTATAAGAAGGGGCACTGGCAGCTTGGAAGCTCTGAAGGTGACCTCAGGGCTGCAGTCTATCACCTGTGTGAGCTTCAGGTCCTGTGTGTTGCAGGTTTCCTCACGGGTCCAGCCCACGAGGGACTGCAGGGAACGAGGGTTCTGGCCAAGGTGGGGGTGAGTAGCGCAGAATCAACACACAGACTCTGGGAGCTGGATGAGAGCAGGCACTAGGCGAGGTGCTGCAGACTCGTTTATTGCTGGGAAGGGCAGGCCTTATATATCTCTCCCCCTGCCCCCAGTGACCCATAAGCTGGTGAGTTGATCACTGATAGATCCCCTCATCCAGGCAGGGTCCCCTCATCCAGGCAGATCGTAGGTTGGCTATTTTGCGGAAGCACAGGCTGCGCTCTCAAAGCAGAAGCTGTGTTCTCTTAGTGCAGCCTGTGCTTAAGCCTGGCACTTCCTCTCCTACACCTGTGGCACTGCATTTTTGGGGTGCCTTGAACCTTTAGGACTCCAGTTCTCAAGCTAATAAGAAGACACTCTGGGGCTGGAGAGATAGCTCAGTGGTTAAGAGCACTGGCTGCTCTTGCAGAGGACCCAGGTTTGATTCCCAGCACCCATGTGGTGGCTAATACCTGTCCTCTAACTCCAGTTCCAAGGGATCTGATGCCCTCTTCTGGCCTCTGTGGGCATTGCACAACATGGGTGCAGTTACTTACATGCACGCAAAACACTCATACACCTAAAAAATAATCTGAAAAAATTTAGTTTAGAAAAAAGATACTCTGGTCTCCTGCCTGAGGGGCTTGGCTGGTTTCCTGTGTTGTGGGAGCGGAGGAGAATGTCACCCTGTCTGTTGTCCCAGTTTTCTCTGTACCCCAGTCATGCCAGGCACCGTTTTACCTTATCCAGAGACTGACCTGAGTCCTCACAATTCAAGGCAAACAATCACAGTCAAGGGGATAGTGTGCGAATTGCCAGCCCGCCTTTGGTGCTGCTTCCCACTTCTGGATCTTGGAAGGGGAAGTGGGACATGAGCTCTGCACTCTGTCAGTTTCAGGTCCCAGTCTGTTAAACCCATTTTGCACTTGTTCATCTGCTTTTCCAAAGTTCCAGATTTTGTGGCTGTTGTTTCTTCCTTTATCCTCTGTACTTGAGAAGTTGCCAAGATGTGCATTACTCTGAATATCACCGCGGCTCTCTAACATCCAAATGCTTTCAGGTCACTTTCTATCCATTTTGCTAAGGATGTAAAAAGATGTATTAATGAATGTGTGGTTACTCCTCGGAGAAAGCAACTTGATTCCCTTCCCTGGTCTCATTACCCATCCAGATACCACCTACAGTGGATGTGCAACATGGGCCATCCCTGTGGAGCAGGTGCAGTAAATGGACTGGCGCCCTCTGCTGACAAGTGAGAGCAAGGCAGGGACATGCAGCTGTAGGCCTGGGGTGCCACTACCTAGTGAGCAGGTTCACCACCTCTCAGAACGCTTCAGGGACCATGTGATTCCTGACTTTATCACTGTACTTGTTTGTGCCGTTTCCTCACAACCTTGTTCAATGTCCTGTCCCACCCCCAGCTCTGTTTTGTGATGTTCTGGACCCCCAACGTGTCTGAGAAGATTTTGATAGACATCATTGGAGTGGACTTTGCCTTTGCAGAACTCTGTGTTGTTCCTCTGCGCATCTTCTCCTTCTTCCCAGTGCCAGGTAAGTAACAGAGAATGAAGGTTCCTATTTATCCTCCTGCCCAGCGAAATCATGCCATTGACAAAGGTCCTATTTCATCCTGAGCTAGAAAGATGTAAAGACAGTAGCCAGCAGGTTGAAAATTTTGACACGCAAATCTATATATGAATTATAGTTCTCAGAACTATATACTAAAAAGCCAGTTGTATAGTATGACAATTTGCAAAGTAACATGAAAAACAAGATTGAAAAATAGAGTGAGCTTACTGCTAAAGCCTGGAGAGGGCCGGGTGTGGTGGCGCATGCCTTTAATCCCAGCACTCGGGAGGCAAAGGCAGGCAGACCTCTGTGAGTTCAAGGCCAGCCTGGTCTACATAATGAGTTCCAGGACAGCTGGGGCTACAGGAAGACCCTGTCTCAAAAAGACCAAAAAACAAACAAACAAAAAGCCTGGAGAGGAACAGAGGAAAAGGGGGACTCTTAGACAAAAAGAATGCAGGGTTCAGATGGTACATGGCCAAACGATGCCAAAACTTAAGCCAAAGGGAAAAGCACCAGGGGTACTGTAAGAGATTTAAGACGAAGATCATGCCAAAGCACATGAGAAAACCAGGCTGTGGGGTGAGTGATGAGCATGTGACTGTCACTAGTACATCTGTACCTGTGTCTATATGATGGGGGGTATTCTGTTTCTAGAAGTGGCTCACTAACCTGGTAACAGGGGCCTCAAAAGTCATTACCGAGAGGAAGACCTGTGTGCATTGTCACCTAGTCAAAAATAAATTACCTGGGTCAGGAGTGTAGATTAGGGTTCAGTCCCCAGCAAACCAAAGACATAAGAGCAGGAGACAGAAAGGATTAATTGCCTTCCTCAAAAAAAAAAAAAAATCTACCTAGACCACTAAATTAGAAGCGGCAATTAGTTTACAAATCAAGCAATGGAAGCAGTTCAGGCCAGGACCAATGGCATGCCTTCCAGCCCCATGCTGCCCCAAGTGAGGCAACAAGCAGCCCCCACTGAAGCTCCAAACCTTCTTTCAGTTCTCAGGGATGTCACCTGCTGTGGCAGGAGTGAAGGGATTGACAAAAGCCCACAATAATAGGATGGCGTCTGGTCTTTGTTGGGTAGACACTGGGTGAGCAGAGCATTAGGAAGCTGATGGCAGATGGCTGCAGCTGGAGACCCAGACACATAGGGTTCATTTTTATAACAGTGATTTAAGAGGGGCCAGAGAGCCTAGACAGCCCAGCTCTTCGGGGAGGGAGGGGTGTTAGCTTCGGTCTCCTCTCAATGCCACTGCCTGTTTGTAAGATGAAAACCTTCCAGTTGTCAAGCCCCACTGACTCTTCAAAGTCTGTTGGGTTTGTGCCACCAGATTAACACACACCTGAGACCCTGACCCTCTCCTTTGGGCAAATTTAAGTGGCGCTGTCTGACCGCTAGAAGAAAATGAGCCTCATTCAAATTACATCTCTACCCCCTGGTCTAACACACTGGTAAACCAAGAAAACAGTAGGGTAGTGGAGGAAATTCAGTGGCAGAGCAGCTGCCAGGCATGTGTGAGGCCCTGGGTTCAATCCCCAGCACTGCAAAAATGAAAACCAAAAACATCCAGCAGGTCTACTTGCAAACAGACCAGTCCTGGAAGTGAGCATTACCCAGAAGTGAGCAAGTATAGAGACTGCTGGTGCTATGCAGAGGGAGTAAGGGCCCCAGCCCCCCAGGCCTTTCTGGTTTCGGACAGAAGCTGCACCTTTAGGTGCACCAGCCAGGGCAAAGGTCTATGCCTTCCATTGTTCCTGTGCTGTCTGCTTGTGCCTTCTTCTACACTCACAGTCTGGATGCAGAGTGGGTGTGGAAGTATGTGCACTGATACTGTGGGGTGGCACATAGCAAAGGAGCTATGGCACCCTGATGGAGAAAGGGAAATGGCCGATGGTGGAGAGTTGGGGGTAGTCCAGAAAGACATGGTGGGGAGTAAGGCCAAGAATCACTATTCCCCCATGTTCCTATCCCCTCTATTCAGTAGGAGAGTGACAGCTTCTGGTCCCAGCTCTTCTGGTCGCTAGGCATCAAAGCTGCCTCTTCTCTCTGGGCTTTCTCTTCTGTAGGAAGATGGTCAAAGCTAGACTGGAGGAGAGGGTAACTGGGCTGGGCGAGACCATCCTGGGAGCAGCCAGGCCCACCAAGAAGACAGTGATCATGCTGGAGCAAGGCACCTGCCTGCATCTGGCCATCTAGACACAGGACGGAGGAGACAGGAAGCAGTGGGAACAGACTGACTCCAGCCAGGCTCCAGAGCAGGGATCAGCAACCCTCAGGAAAACAAGAGACCAGCTGTGGACCATAGCAGCCAGGCTGGAGTTCCAGCCAGTCTTCAGAGTTGCTGCCCTGGCCAGCAGCAGTAGGATGGGAAGATATGGGGTTGAAGCAGACCACAGCTGACAAGTCATTCTCTCCTCACAGTGACTGTGAGGGCCCATCTCACTGGGTGGCTGATGACACTGAAGAAAACCTTTGTCCTGGCGCCTAGCTCTGTGCTGCGGATCATCGTCCTCATCACCAGCCTTGTGGTCCTGCCTTACCTGGGGTATGTGGTCAGGGCATTTGGTAGAATCCTTTGCCCTTGAAGTATTCTGTCTGAAGAATTAAATCCACATTTCCAAGTGAAATCCCCAAGCATATTAGAGCTGGAAATCCAGAAGAATGCTTTTCTATCTGGCACCAGTAGAGGCCTTTGAGATGCATGCTAACCCATACACAGAGGACACTCAGAGTGTCTGCTGTGCTGAGGAAGGTGCAAACCAACTGAAGGGAGGAACGGGCCCTGCCCTCAGAACTCCCTGTCCCTAATGAGGGGGACACAGCAAGTCTGGGTCAGCAAGTCTGAGATGATAGTGATAGGCCAGGAGCCTACTGTAACTGGTCCCACAAGGGTGAGAGCTCAGCCCTGAGTCACAGTCTACCTAACCATGAGTGACTGTTAGGTGCAGCCTGTCCTGAGCCAGTAGAGGACATCATTGCTGTCCCCTCTGGTCTGCAGTATTCCTGGGTTTAATCAGTGCTGGGTGGGTTTGTCATCATCTCTATAGTGTCTCAACTTGGCTTTAACAGACAAAATTCTTTTGCACTCTCATTTCTAGGGTGCATGGAGCCACCCTGGGCGTGGGCTCCCTTCTAGCAGGGTTTGTGGGAGAGTCCACCATGGTCGCCATTGCAGCGTGCTATGTCTATCGGAAGCAGGTAAGAGACACTGGCAACAGCTTGCAGGACAATCAGGACCTTTCTTTCTGCCTCCACAGACCCTTTCCCTTGTCAGCCCCACTCTAGGAAGTCTCTTCTAACCAGTGCTGGGCCATCTCACCCCCCTACGTAGTCTCAAACTTCATGGGGTTATGTATCTTTTTTCTCCATGATCTCAGGATCTTATTCACTCAGATGAGATTAACAAGGGTGTAAATACAAGTAGAGATGAAAAGGGGCCCAAGGACAGAGCCCTGGAGTTGCCCGTGCTTTCAGGCCAACGGGCTGCAAAGAAACCAGCAAGTAATGTAAGAAGACCAGGGAAGCAAGGACAGCCAGGAGAGACCAGGGATAGATGATGGAGCGCTTGGCAGAGGGTGGGGTTGAGGAGGTAAGGAGATCTGTGACCCCATCTGGGTGGACTCATGGTCTAAAGAGCCAATAAAAAGGGGAAGTTGAAGACTTCAAGCACAAACAACCCTTTAGAGTTGTTTTGCTCTAAAGAAGAGGGCTGTGGACATGATTTCAGAAAACCAGTTAAGATGGGGTGTGATTTGGTGAAGTGCTTGCTTCCGGGTCTGACTCAGTGAATGGGATGTCATTATGGAAAGGGACAACAGAGCCAGTGGGCCAAGTGCACAGGAAAAGGGGTGGGAAGTGAGGAGAGAACCTCCACAGCGAGTGGTGGAGGAACAGTCAGGGGAACTCTGATGGCATGTGAGTCAGCTGAGAAAGGGCCACACTGAAGGCTGGAGACAGAGGAGGGCATGTGAAAGGCTGAGGGTTGGCCAGGAGACTAGGAAGCGAACGGCCGGGAAAGCGGGGCACGAAGGCCCAGCCACGTGGAAGTCAGTCCTGTGGTGGGCACACAGCTCAGGACTCCTATGATTAGAGATTTGAGCCTAAGTGAGTTCAGGGTTTTACCTGGCAAATAGGACTAAGGAAAAGCGAGGATGTGATTCTAGGTAAAGCTGAGGAGATGTGAAGGGATACTTAGGAGCCATTGTGGTTGCTTGGAGAGGAGTGGATGGAGAGTGGGTCCTGGGAGGATGCTGGAAGAGGCTACAGTGGAAGCCAGGCTCCTTGTGTGGATCTGTTACTCAGAGAGTGTCAAGAGCACACAGTGCCTGAGCTGTGGCTGATCCTGAGTAGCTGTTTCTGCAAGGATTACGCAGCAAGGCAATGAGGCCAAGAGGAACAGGGGGTGCACTGCGGACAGAATGAACCCAGAGCCGTCAGAGGGACCAACTGATGACAGATGGGGAGAACTATTCTAGAACATGAGGTTCCAAGTTTGGGGTTTTAGGGAGGAAGAAAGCAGCTGCCAGGTGGCCATGAGGGGTGAGAGGTACAGGGCCTCCATTTGAAAGGGCTGCAGGGAGCCGGTGGTGTCCAGACCCAGCAAGTACATGAGCATCTGAAGTACAAGGAACACACTGAACTAGAGTCAGCCTGGATGAGTCACCTCGGGACACAAGACAACATCAGCAGCCCCCGTCCCCTCCCCAGGATCCCCTGCTCACAGTACTGCTATGGTATGACTGCTATGGTATGTCCTGTCCAGTCCCATTGACCATTCTTCTTTGATCTAGAAAAAGAAGATGGAGAATGAGTCGGCCACCGAAGGGGAAGACTCTGCAATGACTGACATGCCTCCCACAGAGGAGGCGACAGACATCGTAGAAATGAGAGAGGAAAATGAATAAGCACAGGACACCACGGGGCACGGCAGGGACAGTCGAGACGACACTCAGCATCATCTCCTCTCTCCTCCTCCCATCATGTTTCTTTCCTCTTTTTTTTTTTTAGTTTTTATTTTTGGTAACGAAAGAGGCCTTGATTTAAAGGTTTCATGTAAATTCTCTAGCATACTGGGTATGCTCACACTGATGTAGGGACCTAAGAAAGGTCTTTACTGTCACTTTCTACAGAGAACCATAGACTTCATGCCTCTGCTTTCATGAAAACCCAAAAGATGTAGTTTCTACTCCTCCCTTGGACAATCTCCACTTTGGAACCAAAGGACTGTGGCTGTGCCATCACCTCTTGGGCCACAGCTGCCCAGCAGGCCACATATTCTTTCTTTCCTGGATGTTTTCGCCTCTCAGCAGGTTAAAGCTCAGCCTCTTGTGACTTGCTCCCAGATACCATGGCTATACACAGAGATGTACCCTGGTGGCCCTCCCACTCCCCTTCCACCGCGGAGTCATGAACTGTCTACCACGCACACACAGGTGGGCAGCACGCTGCAGCCCAGAGGAAAGCCTATGGCCGCACCAGGCCCGTGTATGGAAAAAAATCTGTAGAAATCAGTTTGCAGTGCCACTGGAGCAGCAAACTGGTGTGATCATCAGCATCCATGTTGTATTTTCCTGGTTTCACCAAGTTGCCGCACCCCGCCGTGTATATACATGAGCTGACTTCTCAGAGTTGTCACAGATGTGCATCTCCAAATGTCAGTGCCCTTTCGCATGACCTCCCCGAAGGCTTGCTTTTCACTCGCCTTTCCTGAAGATGGCACTAGAGCGAGTTCAGTGGAGCATTCTAACTTTCCATTTTGTTTCTACAGTGAAGAGAAGCTTTAAGTCATAATCAAGCATTCTAATGCCAGGTCGCTGTCTCGTAACTTCTGGAGTAGATTTATTACCTGGTTCTGCCATTCCCAGTCACTCTGCGGTACAGGTAATTTCGAGTGTAGTACGGTACTTCCCTCACACATAAAGCAAGACATTTTATAAACAAGTATCAAAGTCACTATGTGATAGTCCCTGAAATAATGCATCGGAAATCCATTTAGTGCAGTATATTTTTCTAAGTTTTGGAAAGCGGGTTTTTTCCTTTAAAAAAAATTATGGATACAGTTCACTAAATTCTTGATTTAGTCAAAATAACTAAACTGAAAGAACCTAAACAAAACAAATATTTTAAAGATATAAATATATGCTGTATATGTTATGTAATTTATTTTAGGCTATAATACATTTCCTATTTTCGCATTTTCAATAAAATGTCTCTAATACAATTCGATGACTGCCTATGTGCTCCACATGCCCACAGATGACTCACATTGGACCAATGACCATTATCTTATTTGCAGCAGTTTTGCAAAGGTCTTGTTTATGAATGTAAGAGCTTGTAAATGCCAAGAAAACGATTTTCATGATTAGCCACCTAGTGGAGGGGGGAGAAAAAGTCCACTGATGTAGTCAAGTTAAAAGTTGGAAGGGAAAGAGAAACAAAAGGGCAGGCCTCATGTTTATTTTTCAGTGCTGTGTAATCCTGACGTTAAGACTGTAAGGCCAAAGTTGGCCATCAGCTACATGGGCTTGCATTCACATTTCTGAACAACCAGTGTCCTTTGGATGCGCCCACTATGGGGAGAGCCCTGTGTGCCTCCAAGCCGCTTCTCCATTTACATATGTCAGTGCTGAACGTAAATGTGTAGTTGCTTTGGGGTGATATCAGGGGCAGATCTGAAAAGGTAATTTAAAAGTCTTACTTGTATTGGCTTTTTAAAGTACATGACTAGAAAATTAAACAGCAGTATTTTTTAAGACATGTGACTATTTTCATGCTTCTGGGGTTGGAGCTCAAATAGCACATTGAAAAAGCAAAATCAGCCAGGCATGGTGGCGCACGCCTGTAGTCCCAGCACTTGGGAGGCAGAGGCAGGCGGATCTCTGTGAGTTCAAGGACAGCCTGGTCTACACAGTGAGTTCCAGGACAGCTGGGGCTACAGGGAGACCCTGCTTCAAAAAGACAAAAAAGAAAAAGAAAAATCTTTTCCCTCTAAATTCAGGAAACTCTTCATTATGCACTTAGAACATAGAATTTTAACTCCAGAGCACCTGACCACATTGTGTTAAGAGTTCCAGAGAACCTAGGAAGCAATGCCAGGCCCAGAACTCAGCCTTGGAGCTGTGATTTTATAGGATTTGTTCAAGCCCTCCCCTTGAGGAGCAGGTTTCCTCACTTCCTTTGACCTCTTTTGTCACCTGACATCCTAAGACAGAATTCTGAGCTGGCATACTCTGGTTTGCACCAAGAATTCCACCATCTAGACATGGGCAAAGGGCTACTTTCTCCACTTTACAGTCATCAGAGACAGCCTTTCAACTTGTAACCCAAGAGGTATACACCCAATGTTATTTCTAAACATTTCGTTCAGCTAACAAATGGAAGAGTACTGACCTGTGAAATGTCAGATCGAGGATGGAAAAAGCTAGTATGACTTCTCAAGGTTAAGGGGCTGTTTATAGATAGACAAATACAACTTCAAATTACAAGAGCATGCGGCGGTTTTTCATCCAAATGCTGAGAAATGAGCTGGGAAGGCCCAAAGCAAAGCCAAGAAGCCTGTTTTTCTGAAGGGCAATGGGGTTATTCTAAATGCACACTTGCCCCATGCTTTGCCCTTGTTTACCAGATCTTGGCATACAGGGCAGCTGTAAGTCACTCAGGACAGACAGAAGTAGAGGTGCTTGCCATAGGCCATGAAAGGCCAGGGCCCGCCAGCTGCCAGGCCCAAGGAGTGCTGAGAGGTCTGCACCCTGGCAGGAAACCCTCACTGAGGATTCTTCCTCTGGAACGGCCAAGTGTTTGTATCTGGGTAAATGCCAGCCAGTCACTCTTCACTGTACTGGGTTTGTCTTGGTCAGAGGTACTCCTCCCTCATTTTAAGGAGACTTTGGGGGGGTTAGTATGTGGGATGGTCTCAGAAATGAAAACACTTAATACTGGTTTAAGGTCTATTGGGAGGCTGAGTAAACCTGGACTGCAGTAGAATTCTGTACTTCTCTCCGAGTCTTCTAAATGAACAGCCCTGCACCATTCCCTGCAGTGAGATACAGGGAAGCTCCTGGGTACTGGGTGGGCCTTTAGACTCCAGGCACATTCTCACTTGCAGCCCCTTCTGCATCTGGCAGGACTGAGACAGTAAGGAACAGTAAGACACGGTCCCTCAGTCACGGGAAAAGATATTCCATTATATCTTTAAAGAAGGAAGTCAGTCACTTGGGAGCGAGGGGTATACACACATGATGTGTCCTGGGATGAAACCCAAGGCTTCATACAAATACTAGCCCAACACTACACTGAGCTTCAGTCTACCCTCCAGCTTTCCCTACCCTCTTAATTGTTCCCTTAGCAGATATTTTCTTCTGAAAATAACAGAAGGAACTTTTTCTAGAAGCACACCATTTAAAGCTTTAGGAGCTCACTTGACTGAATTTTTCTGTCCATACTGAAGCAGGAGAATGTTACAAAACAGGAAATATTAATATTCTTGTAATTAAATTATGTTACCTTGAGAAATGTTTTCATGTATTTCATTTATTTCTGCCTCAGTAAAGCTGGGACTCGACCATGCCCAGGAACATCATGTGGTGCTGTCATAAGTAGCCAGGCCTCAGGCTTTGCAGAACTGATTGCCAAACTGAGGGTGAAGTCATCTGTGCACTACCCAGGAAAAGGGGGTCTTTTATGTTCTAAGTTCTGTCCACTCTTTTATAACCCAAAGTGTAATGCAGTCTTTGGTAGGGATTGGAAAGGTGAGCACCTGTGCTCACATGCAGCCAGTTCAAACACCCAGTGGTTCCTGGCTGCCTCCTCCATACGGCCCGCACATGGCTCCTTTATAAAAGTATTTGAACCATAGCAAAGCAGGGTGTGAGCGATGTGTTTGGTAAACAGGCGAGATTCTCCTCTGTGTGGTTATTCTGAGTCTCTATTTTTGTCATTTGAAGCAGCAAAACATCAGGTGACTCATCAGCTGATCTAGCCACACACGAAACAGGATGTAGAGAAAAATCTGATGAAAACTGTAAAAAGCCTGGGTTGCCTGCTCATTCAAAGGCTAGTGTCTAAAATTAACATGCCAAAGTTCAACAGGAGAGAAACTGGACTATGTAATCAGAGTAACCCAAAGTCCACTCAGAAGTCAGAACAGGTAACAGTTTACTGTCTGATCTCAAAAGAGAAAATCAAGAGAAGACAAAGAGGCTTTCAAGTTTAAGCTTCATTTTGTCCACAAGATGGAAGGTCAGGTTTTAGCTGTTAGTTGATGCAGCTCTCTGCTGGAAAAAGCACCTAAATCAGAAGGAAACCTCTGCCACATACAAGTGGTTCCAGAATTAGAATCACTACCTTCCAAAATTTCAGTAACTTTTTCTAAGGATTTTTATGTGTATGTCTGTGTAAGTGTATGTGCACACTGTGTGCAGGTCACGCATCTGTACACATGTGGAGGCCAGAAGAGAGCATTGGGTGTCCTCTATCACTCTTTTTTTTTCCCCTTTGAGGCAGGGTCTGTCTCAACTTGGGTTAGGGTTAGTGACACTTGGGGCTTGTAGTCTGTCTGTTATGTTGCTATGTTAGAAGCCAGTAAGACCCAGCAGTCCTTCTCCAACCCCCTAGGACCTGGGGTTATGGGCATTTACGAGAATGCCTTGGCTTGCTTATTGCATGAATCCTGGGATCTGAACTCTGGTTCTATGATTTTAGAGCAAGCAATCTTAACCACTGAGCCATCTCTCCAGCTCCATAATTTTTTTCCTCTGCTTCACTGGCAGTCAGTCAACCAGTCTCTTAAAACTTGCACAAGAGATGTACTTTTAGAATGGCTATCAGATACACATGGATTTAGTGAACATTTTAATTTTTTAAAAAATTTCTTTTCATGTGTATGAGTATTTTGCATGCATGTATGTAAACACACTACACGCATGCAGTGCCCTCAGAGCCCAGAAAGTGTTGGATCTCCTGGAACTGGAGTTACAGACAGTTGTGAACTGTCATGTGGGTGCTGGGAACCCAACCCAAGTCCTGCAGTAACAAGTGCTCTTAACCACTAAGCCATTTCTCCAGCGCCCTCAGGGGACTAAAAAAACACTTTTTATAGACTACCTATTTCTGTTAGGCCATGTAACTTCAAGTGCATTTATGAGCAAGACCTGACATCCGCTTTGTAGACGCAAATGTAAACCAATATATACACACTAAGCACAAAAGCAGGAGCCTTTTCACTCAAGAAATGTAGATGGTTCCTTAGGTTAAGGAAGAAAGGAGACAGGACAGACCAACTAAGAAAGGTTGTGACACAGCAGTAGTAAAGGCCCATTAAGGGAAGACTAATTCTCCTGACGGAATAGAGACCTAACATTCCAAGCTACCCAAAAAGGAAGTTAATACAGTCAGACCAGTCAATCATCTGGCCAAGGAATTACCCCTCAGGAGGGTGGGACCACTCCTAGGAAGATGGGTCACCTTAATCCACACTGAAGAGACAGGTGGGATGATTATCCCCTTAATGTGATACTCCTTTCCCTTCCGGAATTCATGCCCTCCAGCAGGAAGGAAGCCCTGAAGTTCGGCTGGGCCTGTCCACCTTTGAGTCCTCACCCTTCTTTGCCTTTTTGTTCTTTTTCGGATACTAGTTGGAACTTGTGCTTTTGCTGTTACTTTGGGCTTCCTTACTCTTTCTCTAAAGCTCCCTTCCCTGCCATGGTGACTGCCTGCTACCATGTGGCTGATCTCCTTGCCAGCTTCAACAAAACAGCATGGCTTTTTACCTTCTCTTCACCAGGCAACTGCTGAGATTGACAGCTTGCTTACCCTCAGATTTTTCTTTTAAATGCTAATACAGCTGGGCCTGGTGGTGCACACCTTTAGTCCCAGCCCTTGGGAGGCAGAGGCAGGCAGAGCTCTGTGAGTTCAAGGCCAGCCTGGTCTACATAATGAGTTCTAGGCCAGCTGGGGCTATTTGGAGACCCTGTCTCAAAAAAGACCCCCCCCCAAAAAAAGCTAATACAGTTGTCCTCAAGTTTCCATTTGAATGCATCTTTAACTTCTTTTACTAAGACCCCCAAGAGGGGACCCCAAATTCCCTCATCTAGCACCCCACCTGGGACTCCAGCCCCTCCTTTCACAAGTCTTCTTTGCTTGCCACTTTTGACTTTGAATAAACAGTGGCTTTGCTCGACTTCAGACTCTTTCCTGCCTTTTAAAATTCTTTAGGTGCCAAAAGCCCAAACACATTCCTATACACCTAGCTGTTTTCAGTTAACACTATACACATGCACATTAGTGATTGCTGTAAAACTCAAGAAACAAACGTTCCCAGCCATGGCTTCACATTAGGCCAGACTTACTCTCGTTCCCTGCAGTGTATGGCTATGGACTTCTAGGACCCACATTTGCAAGAATGAGCTTCTGAAGGTAAATTTCATATTACCCTTATGTCACAAAATAGACTGAGGGTACATCTCACCAGTCAACACCCCACAGAATCAGCAGTGTCTCCATGAAGCAGTTCTATCACCCCAGTAGTGCAATATCTAAAAGGTTTGTGGAGGCAAATACCTAGCTCCTGAGAGTCGATGGTATGTTTGGGTTTGCTTAGTGCTAAGGCGGTTATCCAAAGTTAGTAGGACCGAGGTGCCAGAGAGCTTCAGAAAGCTGGACAGAGCAACACAAGATAATTTGTCTAATACCAACAAACCCACACTCACTTAAGAGGTTCTTCCAACCTAGAGGACTAAGGCCTGCAGCAAAACTTTT